TTAGGAGAAGGAGGAGGTGGTGAGTGGTAGTGGTATGGAGGATGTGGTTTAGGAGGTTTAGGAGAAGGAGGAGGTGGTGAGTGATAGTGGTATGGAGGATGTGGTTTTGGAGAAGGAGGAGGTGGTGAGTGGTAGTGGTATGGAGGATGTGGTTTTGGAGAAGGAGGAGGTGGTGAGTGGTAGTGGTATGGAGGATGTGGTTTTGGAGAAGGAGGAGGTGGAGACTTGTAGTAGTAATGAGGAGGCGGCGGAGGGGATGAGTAACGGTAGTGTGCAGAGGTTTCTGTAGGCAAGCTGAAGAAAGAGACTGCCAACACTAGAAGAGTAGCAAACACAGAGGCCATTGAAGACCCCATCTTTACTTCAAAGTGGGTTTTGGGTCTGCCCTTGGCCTTTGCTCTAAACTCTTTATATAGATTTGGTCTTTACCTTCCCATGATTAAGTTAATCAAGGTAAAAAAAAAAAAAAAAATCAAAATACTTCACCATTGTTAAAATAATAAATACATAAATTCAAATGGTACTTATTTGAACATGTAAGATGTGGGTTCTCATTCATTCATGTTGGGAGAAATTGTGACTTCCGGGGCCTGGTCTAGTTATTGAATTTGGCTTTGATTGAGGATGCTAGCTAAGCAAAGAAATAATTAGTTAGTCATTTTTCTATACAAATAAATCCAAAAGAAAGTCTCCCTTTTATTTTCCAACACATATTTGTATACAAAACCAAAGAGTTGTGTAGTGGCTAATTAATTAGCTGGCAAAACCATCCACTACCCTCACTAAATTTTGGGAATAACATCAGATTTAAATTGCAAAGTACTCATGTTTAATCACTTCATAGTCTAAACAAGTTTAGAGTACGTACCCATTATACTCTGCACTTATAATAATATTCATTTAATTTGCAGATTAAAAAAAAAAACATCACTTTTAAATTTTAATCTTACGGAGGCTCAAAGAAGATAAATATTCTTCTTGAATTCTTTACTCCGACATTACATGCCGTTGATCGAATTGGTGCTGCGCCAAAAAATGTTATTTGTTTTAACAGTGATTGGTATACCTTTTATTTCAATACTCGGTTCAATATTCTTCGATTTAATTATTAAAAAATTATTATTTTTTAATCTAAAATTAAAAATAGACAAATATAATGATATAGTTATGCACATAAGATACAAGAACCGACTGAATTAATTGTATTTATATTATATTTTTAATGATTAAATCGAAAGGTGTTGAATTGAGTGTTGAATTGAAGGGTATACCAAACATTTCCCTATTTGTTTATAGTACTATTTTAGGAATTGCAAAAAATTCAAGTTGTCAGAACAACCACTCCGATCTAATGGTATGGATTTTGAGTTAAAGCCATTTACTTCTTGTTGATAGCATGTTTAAGTCTCACAAAACTCATTTTTCTTTTCCCCAATTAATATATAAATAATTTTAATCTTTTCAAAAAAAAATGTCAACAGTTATAATAAAAAATTTAAATACCTTTAATAAATTAATATTATGAAAAAAATATTATTAAAGATATTTAAGTAATTTCACATGTAGTCATGATATTTAACATATTAAGAAGTCTTTGATTTTCACTTTTTCATTATTTTATTTAATTAGTAAATTGTTGTATTAATTGATATATTGGAAAAACTTGATTAGAGGCCTAACTCTTTTAAGAAATTTCGGGGTTGGGGGACCAGAGGCGGCTAAATATCTGGACTTTCAATGGATTCAAATTTGCAGTCCCCACAAAATTGTCGCTTGTTTACAATTTATATGATTCTACTCCTCCTTTTCTGTGGGCTAATTAGAAACATAATATTAATTGAACAGGGCCTTTTACTTTAAATTAATTTATATTAATTCCACGTTCCTTGCTGCAATGTTTTGGTTTTTAATTTTGAATAACCAGTAATATTTATATTAAGTTTAATTTCTTTTGTCTTATGTACTAAATGAATGAGAAGCTTTAGGTTTACAAACACACCTAAAAGATTATTGCGAAAGTTTGCTAGAACTTCATTTGGCGATTCTTCAAAGGAGTAGAATCCCTTGTCCAAATAATTGTTCTAATCTCTCAACCTGCAAGAATAGAGCTGAAATCAAAGAGTAAAATCATGTCCTCCGAGTATTAATGATTTTAATTTTTTTTAGAACAAACAGTGTGTGAGGGGTGCTTATAAAGCCTTAAACCCTCAAGATTTTATTTTATTTTATTTTATTTTGAAATGAAAAGAATGCACTGTTATTAACGAGGAGTGCAAGGCTTCTTATCAGTTCTAATGGGGACTTGGCTAACACTTTTTGTTTGCACCTATTCATGAAATATTATTAGTGGTTAAAAATTGATGTAAGAGTTTATTAAACTTACATTAGTGTAAGTTTGTCCGTACTTCTTATTAAATTTATTTTGGTTGTTTTAAAAAATATGAACTTTTTTTTTTTTTTATAAGCCAACTGTCTTATTATACACTAGTATTTGTTTGAGTAAAGAGAAATTGGGTGGATTAATTAGACAAATTTGGTTAAATTTGGATTTATTTAATCACCGGCAAGAAAGTTCTTCCCCCCTACCAACCTAAACATTCAGTAAACATAGCTTAATTAATTTATTTCATTAATTACAAATCTAGATACAATTTGTTTATAATACTATTTCTGGATACTATCATGTGTATTTGACAGTTTTTTAATCTAGCTGTGATTTCAGAGGGGAACATGGGAATAGAAAAGTCATCAGTGACTTAAGAGTATAACAATTGCCAATTGGGTCACTAAAAAGGAAGGGATATTGGTTAATTAATTAAGCTGCTATGACCTTATTTTTGAAGACGCATTAATTGTCAGTAGTTTTAGTGTTTTAATCTTGTTGTTTTAAGAGTTTAGGCATTGTACGTAAAGTAAATATCAAGGATATGGTTACTAGGTTGCATATGCTGCCTGCGTATATATGTTTTTTTTTCTTTGTTTACCGTCCGATATCCGGGGTTTCGTCCCGACTAATTCAGACCCGACTCGCGTCGCGCACCTGGAAATGGTGGGTGAGTCTCTCGCTGCTGCATTCACAAGGTCTCAAACTCGAGACTTTACTTAAGCTAGAACAAACCGTTTACCACTTGATCCAACCCCTCGTTGGTGCGTACATATGTTTTTGTTCTCGTTAAATATAATTTTAGTAACTAATTATTAAATTACGCAAAATATTAGAGATTTTGAGTTTATTGGATTGGAGCGGATAATTAGAGGGATCAATTGTCTAAAAACTAGTAGTAGTTTGAAACGCTACTAGTTTGAAACGTTGAATACTATGTATATGGAGTATATTACAAAAATGCAATCATTCAACATTGAACAATATAATAACATTATGATAATCACAGCCGTGTTCGTCGGTGATTACTTAATTTCGAATTTTAAGATCAAACAAGTCATTAATGAATGTGTTAATTGAATAAGTAAATAATTAGTTATGAAGACACAACATAATGATTCCCTCCAGATAGAATGCATGTTTGAGCAGCCTGCTCTGACTCTGCGTTGGCCACAGCATTATGAGGCCTCACGTGCCATTGACAATTGAATATTAATTACAGCTTCTAGTAGAGAGATCGCCATCAGATCGGTTTACCTTTAGTGGGAGACACAATCGGATTGGCTTGGAAGCCGAGTTTCAGAAAATGAACACAAATATCTTTAAAATATAAATTAAAGATGTAATAAATATATATTTTTATAATTAATTTATATGAAAAGATAAAAGTTGACTTGAATTTAATTAATTAATTAATTAAATTTATTTAATTGATATTATTATTAAAATGAACACAAATATCTTTAAAATATAAATTAA